AGTTGACCTTTCTTGGCCTCTGTTTTTTAATTGTGTGAAATGAGAAATAAGGTTCCTACCTCTGAAAATGATTGGGGGGGAGGGGGATCAGTAACATGTGTAAAACCCTTAGAGGAGGGACTCCCCAGTTGATAAGAGAGTATTCTTTTAAGTATGTTTTCTTTTATTGGTTTTAGAGAGAGAAGAAGAGGGGAGGGGAAGAGAGAAGGAGGGAGGGGAGGAGAGGGGGAGAGGGAGGGGGAGAGGGGAAGGGGAGAGAGAGAGAGAAACATCAATTGGCTGCCTCCTGTGTGCCCCCTACTGGGGATTGCACCTGCAACCCAGGCATGTGCCCTGACCAGGAATCCAACTGGTGACCTTCTGGTGCATGGAATGATGACCAACTAACTGGGCCACAAGGGCCAGGGCATGAGTAGAGGGTATATTTGATGGTGATTAAGGGTTCAACATTCTTAACTATTATTATGGCTAAAAGCCAGGGAACTATAGCTACACATATGAATGGAATTGAAGACATGTGGGGAAGGGCATAAAAGACAGTAGTAGAAAAAGGGACTAGAAAAATAGGTATAAAAAAGACAAAGACAATTTTAAATAATTAAACTTTCTTTAAAATTCTGTAATATAAAGAGATACAAATAGTCTCATATTAAAAAAACAGGAACAAAAAATAGTCCAGCCTTGAAATGATCTTACTGTTTCTGTAAAAATTCTTAACTTTTCAACTAATTTCAGCAAGCAATTACTGAGCATCAGCTTAGGTGTAAGAGCAGTGGTACCAGTGTGCATGATCTATAGTTCATCTCCAAGATGTCAAGGCCTATGCGAGCTGCACACGTATAGCTAAATATACTAAGTCTGAACACAATCCTTTATTAGAGCTCAGAGAAGAGTGTTTAATTCTTCTGGTGGGAAGAGGAATGGGGAATGAACTTCAAAGGTTTCTCTTCAAATGTCTACAGTATGAAGCAATTCCTATGAGTGAGTTGAGCTGTAAAACAATAGGGAGTGGTGAGGGTTTGGAAAATTGAATAGTGCATTCCAGCTTAAAGGCCTTTAGGTTCAATTTGTTTAAAAAAAATTACCAAATATATCAACAGAGCCATCTGAGGCCAGTTTGCCACCTTTTAAAACACATGGGAAATACTATTTGAGTTGGATTATGAAGCAGGGTTGACTATCAGATAGAGAAGGGGAATAGAAGATTCTAGAAAGGGTTAAGTATTATTTCCTGAGAACCAGAGACAAAAGTACTTGGAATGGTCACTGGGTGCCTGAAAGAGTGAACACTTAGGTGCCAAGGGTAAGATCAGCCTAGGTTACATAGGGCCATGAACACAATCCTAAATTCAAACTGTATCATGAAGGTATCAAGAACCACACCTTTAATTTCCCTGTATTTTTAACAGCATCATTTGAAGAGTTCAATGGTTTCTCAGGTATTTATATAAGAGCTGATTGTTTAAATTATTCTAATTCATAGCATTAAAGTGTCCTGTGTCACTATGAAACATCTGATGGAAGTACCATGATTGAAAAGATCTAAATTTTAAAAAATCAATTCAATTAAGTATTTGGTTATTTATAAGCATCTGGTTATTCATAGGATAGATGGCTCAGGTAATACAGATAATCTAAGTTCATACTGAATTTTTCTCCCTAGAGCTGTAAATATACATATAGCTCTTAAAACTCACTGATTAATTAATATACTAATGATTTAACATCATTCCATACATCTACAGACTGTGCACTGTCCTAAGTGCTTTATGTGTATCATTTCACTTAATCTTCATAAAATTCTTATTGCTAAGAATAGTTACCCCTTCTGTGAAGAAACAGAATCTAGCAGATATGAAATAACTCTCAAAAGGCACACAGACGACAAGTGAACAAGCCAGAGATGTACCCAGGCTGTGTCTTCCTCCAAGAGTACACGCTTAATGTTGACATTACATGTTTGGCATGAACTGACTGATAGCTAGACTTGGTCTCTCCTTCTACACCTGTTGAATCAGACTTTCTCTCTTTTAGGCATGGGGTAGAATATATTCCTCTCCATGACCTTTCAAGGTCTTGTCTATGTTCACTGCATTGGTCTATCCTTATAATGCTTTCTTATTATTTATTGTCAGAATTCCTTCTATTTATAGTGACTTCTTAGTCACTGGCATATTTATTGCTCAACAAAACTACTGAAGGAGCTGAATTTTCTCTTTTTCTGCTCCTCCCCTTTTTTGGCCCACCACCTGACTTCTACAACCTCCCTTCCCCTCACAGGATCTCTGGGCAAAGGTTTGGGTTTACTTTGAGTTTGTCACTACTTATTCAGTAAAGAGAAAGAAATTCAAGTCCATCATGAGAGACATCACAACATGAAATACATTCATATCACGGACTATTCTGTGCGATGATTTGTGCCATGGTCATGCTAACCACGGTCGGTATTTCTTTGAGACTTGGCGAGTGTCGCTTTCTGCATAGTGAGGTGACGTCTAAACCCGCATTTATGGGATGCCACATGAGCAGTTGTTATTTGAAATGACTTGAATTTGCCACCCTGTCAGAAAAAGTGTGCTCCTGAGTTTTAACATACTGGTGTCCATGTCAAAGATGCATGATGGTTTGGATGTTGGCAACCTGGACATGGCATCTTCCGGATTAAGAAGCCAAGGTTTCTCACCAGACATATGAGGTTACTGCGGGTGAACACAGACCATTTCCCAGTGCTCAGTTTATGCTGCATCTTTCCCTCACTGTGTTTAGTTGCTAACAAATTTCTTCCCCGAAACAGACCTACTCTTCTGTTGTTTGTTTCAATACCAGCTCCTCCAAAGCCTCGGGCACAGCACTTCCAAATGTCAACAGCTATTAGTTCTGCACATTCATCTTTGTTTCCTTATTTCTTCCGAGCCATCTATCTCTCTCACAGCCAAGTCCAGGTGGCTTAACAGAACACAGGGATGTGTGGGGGGTATGTATTTTCTCAAAATAAGGTGTCGTGGTTATCTATCTTATCTTTCCCACTTGCTTGAAAACTGTTTTTTTGGGTCTCTCCAAGTACCCAGCCTTATGCCTTGCCTATGATCAATGGAGAGTAAATTGCATTTTTGAAACTGTCTACCTATCTATCTACCTAGCATCATAGTTTTCCAGGACTTCACTTCAATTTCCAGAAATGAGAAGCACAATTTGAGAGAGGAAACATACTGTATTTCATAATGCAATAAACATATAATTATGCTTTTTTTTTCAGTAAAGACTTCCCAGTTAGGTTTCCCTAATATATCTATCTATCTACCTACCTACCTACCTACCTACCTACCTACCTATATGAATGATATATACATATCACAGACACACACACCTGTGTGAACTGTATTTTTGCCATTAGGCATATAAGGGCAACATTTCTTTAGTGAGTTCAAACTTTCTGCTTCCTCACCCTGTGCCCAAACTCTACCTGAAAACATTTCATGATTTAATGTGTGATCTTCATAATGAAGTTAAGAATGTGACAAGCAGGGACACCACGTAACCAGGCACACTGTCTCTTTGAGGCCTTCAGAGATGATCACAGAATATATTATACTGGTCAAACCAGCACCTGCTGACACCAACTGGCAGAAGAACCAGAGATCTGCTTTCATGAGGCAAAAGCAATTACTCAAATGAATAGAAATAATTTCTAGTGTTTCAGAATCATGCAAAAAAAAAAAAAAACTGCAACACAGCAGCCGGTCCTCAAAGGTCCCTGTCCGGGTGATAACAGAGCAAGAATTAGATGATAAGGTGAAACCACCTGGACCTCCTCCACCTTCGTAGCTACCACACCTGAAACAAATCCTAGTCTCTCTTGGGTTCTCATCTCTTGACTCGACATATTATTGTTAAAAGCATAAAACAAAATAAAGCATGGGGAGTGGCTTGAAATTTGTACTATAGTCTATAAATGTAAGGTAATGTTATTGTTTGTTTTTCTTCGGGGAAAAAAAAAAAAAACTGCTAGAAAAGAGAACTACAACATTATCTGTTTAGAATGAGCAGTCCATTGTTTAACAATTACCACTGCAGCATGGCTTAGTCAGGGGAATTTAATTGCTTTTATTCTGGTCAACCCATTGTCCCATCTTTTTGTGAAAATAGAGTTATGCTATTAAGGTATCACAGAAGAAGATTTATGATAGATGCCTTTTTTCCCTTTCTAATATACTTCCACACTGAGCTTTTACTTTTCTCTCACATTTGAATTACTCAGTTTACAAAGAACCATTATGAAGTCACATGAACTGTATATTTAGATAGTAATACACAGAATACGACTAGATATCTTTAGTAATCTGTTAGTAATGCTCCTCCAGAGGAACTCAGGACACTGGAAGAAATCAGTTTAATACTGAAGATGTATGAACACACATACAGTTGAGTCTGAGCAGTGATATAGAGAATGGCAGTCAGAACTGCCTACATGTGACTTATAATACTGACAAGCAGAAGTCATCTTGAAGCAGTAAGAAATTCTCTCCGAAGGCTTGTGTGTTTATATTATTATTCAGTTCAGTGTTTTCCCTTATAATAGTTAAAAGATTGTATCAGCCCAGCCCACAAGAATTTATCAAGCAATTGTCACATATTCTTCCACACAGCTGACACTGGAACATAATTACAATATTGATTCTCTGTTCTCTCGTGTTTCATGTTCATGTATTTATGACCATGTGCACACTTAATTTTGTGTTTATCTATTTATTTTTGCTCCAAAGACAAAACAGCAGGGTAAGGGTATGTAGATCTATATCAAACCCTTCCTGTGTCGAGATCTCATTTAACAACAGCAGCAGCAGCAGCAAAAAAAAACAAAACAAAAAAACAACCCAGCTGTATTATTTATGAAGGTACTGAGAAATTGGAAAGAAAATATCCAGTGAGGAACCACATGACCCTTCTGTTCCCCACAAACCTCGGACGGCGAGGACAGCAAACGCGTCAGGGGCTCTTACCTGCAGTGCACGACCATGGGCCCCGCGTCGGGAGGGTTGCAGGTTTTGACTCTCCGTAAGAATGCTAGGAAAGGTGTCGGGTGTTCTGGAACACCATGGTCAGGCCAGGCGGTGAACTGGAATTGTCTCACTTCCCTCTTCTCGCTCGAACCATTCTGGGAAGAAGGAAAACCGGCTGAAATTCTGTTTTCCTAGCCTCGGGCGGTAATGAGGAGTAAGGCAGGGAAGAGGTACCAGGACCATTTGCCATCCCAATTCCTCCCCGCCCCCCGAGATGTGCTTTGGGAAGACACCCTCCTTGGAGATAGAACCCCAAGCTATTTGCAAAGGGCAAATATTTGCTCAGGAAGATAAACATTCCTAGGTGAGAGGCATTCCATTTCCCTGGTGTTGACTATCAGGACTGCTCCTGTTATATCTTACAGGAGACTGCTTCTCCTTCCTCTAGTCTTCATTTGCCAAAACTTTCGTTCAGAGCGTGAGTTCCACATTTATTGATAAATTGACAGAGAGAAAAATGGCTGAGTGATAATGGAAGAATTAGTTCATTCTCCATGGCTGTCAGTGGCATCAAGATGTAAATAAAGCCTTAAGATACTTGATTTCTCCAAAGACGCCTTCTTCGAGAAGGGAAAGGTGGTGAAAACATAAAAAGCAAACCTTGTAAAGTGCAAAGGTTCGAACACAATACGTGGCCAGCTCCACAGTGTCGAGCAGCGTCACCTGGACCAGCCCGTGGGTTTCTGTGCCTCTGCTGGGCCAGTACTGGTCACACTTCACCTGGAGGAAACAAGGCAGACATTCAGGGCAGGTGCTCATCGACTTCTCCAGCTTTCCTCCGAGTGGCTGTTGAAGGCAAACAGCTTTTCTGCATTTCATCTCATGTTGATCTTTTCCTGGCATGTATTCTTGTTATCCCAATATATGTAAATTACTGCTCTGATGCCAATATAAACCACATTTTTCATACTGGGAGGAATACTAAGCAGTAACAGATTCAATTTTCCCAGAGAAAAATAAAGTACAGATTGTTGCCGAGTAAAATAAGTAGAGAGGTATTTGAAACTTCAGAGTATTCGAAAAGAAAACACACATTTGTTCTGGGATAGACTTTAAGAATTGCATCAGGGAGATTGCAGGTAGGCATTTAAACGGCGCAGTGAGATAGTTAGCATTCATCCATCAAGGTTTAAAAGGCACCAGCCATTTTATCTTGAGCTGTCACAATTTCCAAATACGGTTGTTTAAAGAAAAGTGAAAATAATTTGTAAATCTATCAAAGTATAATAAACAACAGCATTTTTTAACATACAAGAAAAATGGTACTTGTACTCAAAACAAATTAAATCGGTAATGTCTAGGGAAAAAAGAGCTGTCTGTTCTTTAAAAAAGTCTCAGAGGGTCATACACCAGCAGTGCAAAGTTTAAATAATTTAAAATCCGTTCATTTGAGATGAATAATCTACATTTATATGTGGAGTTGAAAAAAAAAGCACATAAAAAGTATTCAACCCTATTAATTTAATATGCAGCAAAGAATAATTCAAGGTCTGCAATAAGCCTCAAATTTACTGAATGCATCCTTTGGGCATTAAAAAGCATAATGAAAAATGACACACACAACACTGTATTTTCTAGTAAAGCCATACATCAGAATATATTTACCCTTTCTATCTCAGATTAAAAGAAAAAAGGGAGTAATTCTTAAATGAAACCAAGTGAAATGCATTTCTCCAGGTAAAGAAATCTAGTACTGTTTGACAACAGGAAACACACCTGCTACTTGAAAAAGAAAGATGGACAAGTTACAATTACTGGATTAAAACATAGCAATGAGGCATTATTAGCATGGACACTAGACTTTCTTTGCCCAGTAAACAGCATTACCAGATAATTATTTTCTTTGACGTGGAATATACATATCAGTAGCATTCTGTGAGTAATATTTTAATTTTCTGTTCCATAGATATAGCATGTGCTCCTCAAGAATGTAGTCTCTTTCCATCTAGACCCAGGACCTTCTAAAAAGGGAGAGGTGTTATCCTCTACACAATTTCCCAAACAAGAAAAAGGTAGAAAAACATGTAAATGTCCAGTTACGTAGTAACGCAGAGACTGACTTCACGAGGTGTGGCTTCTGTGTCATTATTTCAACAAAGATCACACAAACATCACCTAGCCTATGAAAAACAGAGAGAGACACATTTTCATTAAAACAAAAAATTGGTCTCTTACTAGGATTTATGAAAAAATATTTGCATGTTTCCTGGATGCACAAACTAGTCTTCCACGTATTATGTTTCTATCATGTGTTCTAATGCAAAGAAGACACCACGAGGAAAAGGCAGCCCTTTAAGATCACTGATGTGGCATGATCAGACTTTAGCCCCTCTGTGTTTTCAGACCGTCCACTAAAACCCAAGCTGGATCTGGACAGACTTAGCCAAGGCCTCTACCTGAACGGAGCCAACACTACTTAAGTAGCCATGATTCAGATGGGAAAAAAAGATCACAAAAATTAAGCCAAAGGTTCTGTTTTCAACCATGAAATAGATGTCAAGTTGATGTCTCGCTGCAAAGGACAGAAGTAACTCTGGAGGCTTCTTATTTCAACAGTGGAGAGCATTCCAGCAAAGTGTATAGTTAAAGAACCAAGAGAGAAATTCAAGCTCATCATTTTATAGTTTCAACCAGGATGGCGACCCTTTCAAATCAAAACCAACAGATCCAATCCCAGGTAGACAAGTATCACTGTGGTAGGCACACAAAGAGCAAGTTAATGTGACAAAATGATCTCTACAGGCAGTCATGGCACCGAACCAAATTCAATGCAATCGTATTCAAAGCCAGGAATGGGTTATTCTCAGACCGTGTGGCGAGGTAAGACAAAGGAAATCAAGAACCATGAGCCAACCTTCAAGCGACGTCTGGAAAAATGACTCCATGATTTAGTGACTTTTCATCTGCAAATCCACTCCAAACTTAAGATGTAGGAGAAACTAAAATTACGCTAATTATCCTCATACAGTTAATGATAAGTTGAAAAATGCAACAAATACTGGGGGGAAAAATGCCACAAAACTATTAACATAAGGAACAAAGAGTGTGAACATTTTTACTTAAAAAAAAAAGCTCTTGTACTCAATTCAAAATCTACTTTAGTCTTAACTTTTTACAAAAAGTGATGTCCCAAAATGAAAGTCACCTGCACAAATTGGGAACAGTGTTTTAAAGCAAATATATTTAAACTTTGTTCTTTGTCTCAGGAAATATCTCACAAAGGGAGTTTATGAGAAAACAAACATTGTAACGCATGTGCACATGCACACACCAGGGCTCAGCCGAGGGATTAGAAGCTTTCCTGAGCTTATCTGAACAGCTACAGCCACGCATTCTTCCTTCATTAGTAAATACCGCAGCGCCTCTTTGCTGGACCTCGTTCTTTGAGTAGCCGGCACAGGTTTCATCTGATTTCTGAGGGCCAAATTTAAGGGCTTAGCTTTACTGACAGCTCTTCTTTTAAGTCTTTCATTTTTAGCCATTCACTAAACCAATAATATCTGATTTCAACATTAGAGAACACGTCGGAGGTGCAGAGAGAAAAGACGCAGAACAATAGCAATACTATTTTTTCTTCTAATTAGCGAATGCAAATGAACCAGCTCCATTTTTCTCTCTTGAAATGTTTCCTTTGACAACAGGCCCTCTCCCCATCTATTTTCCTGGGAGAAAACCTCAGAAGGCATTTGTAGGGAGGGTGACGAAGTACTTGCGAGGCTTCACGCACAGAGCGGAGTGTGAGCTAGAAGTGGAGGTGGCTCCCCTATGACTATAGAGACCCAGAGAGAAGGCAGGCACTCCTGAGGACAAGGACTGAGTTTCGCTTTTTCCTATTTGATTCTGAAGCGACTACATGTGGCCTTCAGGACCGATTCACGGAAAGTCTGCAGCATTGCTGGATGACAAGTATGCTGCTTCGCTATTTCCAGGACCCAAACCCTGCGGCCTCATCTGTAAAATGGGGACCATTATCTCCGGCATGCCAGGCCCACCATAAGGCTCCCAAATCATGGAACTAAACCCAGCGGCCAGCACCAGGAGACATTCAACAGGCAATAGCTATTATTAATTACTAGTTAGATTATGTGCTTGATTTTTTGTGGTGGTTGTTACAAATTACCTAAATCTTTCTAAATGTAAAAAAAAGGAACATGTTATTAATCCCAGCAGATACATATTTAGGACACTCTAGGTGGAAGGTAAAATGTTAGTCGGTATGGGGATACCAAAGTATAATGAGATGTAGACTCTGCCCCAAATCTAACAGCCTTATTGACTACGAAGTTGTGTTTACATCTCCTGGTTCTTCAAGGCCCTGGTCAGAGTCCAAACAACTCCCTTCACCTACCCAGTCTGTGGCACGAAGACAATGCCTAAGAGTCGGAGGGAGGAAAGGCGAGGAGCAGAACCTGCTACCAGGCTGTGGGCTTGAAGCATCACCCGGTAACTTTCCTTGAGGCCTAACCTACCTGAGACAGCACAAATTTCTGGCTGAATTTCAGGGAGATTTCTTTATATTATCACAAAATAATCACCCTTCTATGGAAAGCTTTCATTTCTTCATAATTATGGAAAGAACAGGTTGACCATGGCTGAATTTATGATATGAAATTAATTCATTTTACCTCTCTCATGACAAACCATCGAAAGCCAGGTGATACAACATAGTTGTATAGACGTGATACAACATAGTTCAAGATACTCAGAAGGAGAGCTTGTGTTGGGGAATGCCTTGGGGGGCTGATCCGGTCGGCCTGCTGAGCATGCTTCAGGGAAAGGCAATTCTCCTGGTTCGTGTCTGCTCCGCATGGCTTATCCTGGAAGTGCCTGGCACATCACCGGCTCAGCCCCTGGAAGCCAACGGTCTGAGCAACTATACTGTGGTCTAGGATGGCTTATTTTTTTTAATGGGCTAAAGTTCTGTGAAAATAAAACCTCCTCATTTCAATTACATAAAGACTTATTGAGTGTGGCAGCGTGGCAAAGCATCCAATTCCAAATGTAATAAACCTAGACCTCTGAAGGGTCCCAGCATCACTGACACCAAACACATTTGCCACATGGTACTTTGAAGAGCCTGCCTGGGGCCAGATGATTTTGCCAAAGAAGGACATAGAACAGACAATAAGTGATATATGGGAAACCATAATTGCTGCTGGAAGTGACTGGGGATCAATATCTAAGCAGTTTGGGCAGCGGGTTCTCCTGTGACAGAAGTGTGCTCACATCAGAGAGCACAAATCAAAGTTGTTATTGGGAGTGAGGAAATGTTAACACACACTTATCAACGCCTGTTCAATAAGGGCATATGCAGTACGAGAACATTTTAGATAAATGTTAGGATCTATTTTAGTGGACAGAAAAAATGATATGCTGAACTGTTTGTTTATATAGGTTATAATCTCTCTTTTGGAAATGTTTAAGGCTGGTTTTAATAGTTAAGTTTTCACAATAAGGACAGAGGTCATCTCCATGATCCTGTTTTCTTTTAATAATGTTGTCATTTTCTGCTTTCAACTAATAGTTAACCATATCTATTCCCAAGTGGCCAAACTGTCTGTTTTATGTATTTCTCCTTTCATTTAATCTTTGCTGACCAAAATTTGGTGGGAGATCAAGGGCAGTGGAACACCTAAAATGAGAATGCTGCTAAAGAATTTGACTACCGCCCTGGCCAGTTTGGCTCAGCGGTTGGAGCGTCGGCCTGAGGTCCAGAGAGA